CGAGGCCCCGCCCACCGCCGCCTCAAGCCTCGCCGGGTCGCCGAGGGCGTTGCGTTTCCGGAGACCCCAACAAGCCGGTCGGCCCCCGGCTCCCACCTTTCCCCTCTGGGATAAAAAATTGTCGTGGGCATGTGCCACGCCTGCCCGGCCTGCCTCTCCCTACTGCCTGCCCCGCCAGCCCTCGCCCCCGCTCTACTGCATCTCTGCCTTCCCGTTCCTGCCGTATCCCTCCTGAGGGTCTATCGTGTAGCCTCCCGGGTTTGGGGTCATGGCAGCCTTCTGGAAGCTCTGGCCAAAATGCACCGGACGGACAGCTTACTGATGCTTCCACGTTCCTCTCTCCCGAGACTGAGTTTGCGCAGGGCATCCTAAATACACACCTGGGATGTAGCCGGCGTATGGGCTGCCAGGTCCCGGCCACCAGAGCTCCCTGCCCCGGGGAAGCTCCCTCACGTGCCCTTCCCTGTATCCCTTAACCCACAGTCAACAAGTGGGGTGGGGTGGATGGCACAAAACAGGTGCGAGCCTTCCAGGTGTTCCTGGCCAGGAGACAAGGGCAAAAGGAGGCAGCCTCTCTGTACATCATGGGTCAGTTAATTTTCCATTGGTGCTTCCCACAGCTCTGGAGCACGGTCCAGGCACATCCTCAGATTTCCATTCTGTCCCTCAGTGATGGAGGCCAGTGCATATATGGCACCCACCTGGCTGATGCAACTACCCCAACACCTCTGCATCTGGCAACCCCTAAATAGCCTGGCATCTTACCAGCTCTGTTGTGGCTGTGGCCTGGCCCCCACACTCAGTCTTGCCTCCTGTCTCACTCTGTCATGCCAGCATCTTGTTGCAGATGCTGCCATTCCTTCCCCTAGACCTGCTGCATGGCATTGCTGTGTTTGGTGGGGCTGCCACAGAGGTCTATCTTGTCTTCTCCGCCAGATGAGTGGTGATGGAAGTGGGGTCGTGCACAGTTTTTGGGGCTGTGTGGGAGGTGACTTGCTCCTTACTTTGAATTCACTCTCCTGGGTGCTGCCACTAATGCCCATGCTGTCAAGCAGAGGGCCATGTGTCTTACTGCTCTTGCCTCTGAAAAACATGGCACTTGAACGTGGTTTGCAGAGAACAAGGCTTTATAAGAAAGCAAATGTGGTACCAATAAGAACCACTGAGTTGGCCTCACAAACCCACAAAACACCTTAAACGCAGTAGGGAAAAATATTACCAGAGTGGGCAGTGGCTCACCAATGAAATCCAAACAACGGGTTCCATGCTGATTCACTCAATGCCAAATATCTTGATGATTTTGAGAGTCATTTGCTAACTGCGCTCCTAAAAGCTCTGGCTCCTGGATTCAGAAAACTCTATAGCTCTACAACTAAGTGCAGACCCTTCCGGAGGCAGGGCCCAAGGAGGCACTGGAAGAAGAAGAACAAATCAAACAGCCAGGCCTCTCCTTGAGATCACTTTTATTTTCAGTTGTTTTGGCGAGGATGTGTGGGCAAGTGTGGGTGTGGTGTGTGTACGTCTGGGCATGCATGTGTGTGTGTGTGCGTAGAGTCCTGCCCAGTGATGCAGATTATATGAATACCTGCAATTACAGTCCATGAACTGAGCCATGAAGCGCGTGATGAGTGCTACACTGAGGCCCACTTGCTTGCCTCGTCTTGTGCTTACTGCAGTGCAGCATCTCTACCTCCCCACACTGCTGTTGCAAGGATGCCAGCCCAAGATCCCATTCAAAGGGTGCAGGAGGAGCTGAGCTCCAGGATCTGGCTCTGCAGGAGTGAGCCAGTGGGTTTTCATCTCACTTAGTGAGCTCCTAAATACCATTTGCAGTTCCCTTCAACACAACCATGTCTGTTTCCTCACAGTGAGGAGCCCCTGCTGCTCTGCAGACTTTAACTACCTCAGAGGTACAAAGGGGAAGAGAATAGGGTCCCCATGCAAGCTCTGGTGCTACAGCACAGCCAAGCACATATTGGGTTCCTGGGAACGCAGCACCCAAATACACTATTGAGTTTTCACAGCCACTGTGGCATTGCAGCATGGGGGATGCTGTAAGGGAGATGACTCTTGCTTCTGCAGCCCCCACTTTCTTCCATCTGATTTGAGAGACCACAAGGCAGGTTAAATTCAACTCTGGTCTCTAATTCTGTTTGAAGGTGAATCCTCCAAGCTCAGAGCAGACACAAAATGCAGAAAGAACAGCTTTGCCATGAAAGAAGACTAGTCAAACGTATCCTGGCCTTGGGGAAGGTTGGAAACAATCTTATTTCTCTGACCTTACTGCCTTCAGCACAGTTAAAGCAGAGGTGTCCCATCACCCAGGACACTCTGCAGTTGCCAGAGGCCTCTAAGTGCCCCTGCAAGCTCTATGATGAGCTAGATGTGCAGCATCACCATTTGGGCTCCCTCTCACTCTACCTCAACAGATTTGCGTGCTGTTTAGGGATATGCAATTTCTGACATATTACACAGACCCAGCAGAAGGCAAAGCTGCTATCCTGGGAGTTTCACTTGGACGGATGCAGGTTCGAATCCCAGGTTTTGCTTCAGAGCATAACGCAAGGTACTCCAGGACATATTCCATCTGCTGAACGTCCTGCAGCGCAAAGCAGCTTGCCAGCTCTGCTTCCAAACCCATCAGCACCAGTTTCAGTAGGAAATCAACTGGTCAACAAGAAAGGGGTCTGCAAACCAATAGGCAAAACCAGTGCAGTCCTCTTGAGTGAAGTAGGCATCTAGTACCAGGAGATTCTGCTGTTCCAAAGGGGTTAAATTCATTGTCAGCTCCACAGGGAGACAACTGATGCCCCAGTACTTCCTGCCCTCTTTATAACACACTTTCAGAAAAGGCTGCAGGGTGCTCCACAGAGGCCTTAGTCATTTCTAACAGTTCAGTAACTCTCAGAGCAGGGACAAGAACAGGAATATAATAGCTCTGAACTCAGGTATCTCTGCTATTAGGGCACCACCTTAAAGCTCTCTTTCCTTGTAGTTTGACTCATGAAAAATGATAGATCCTTCAAAAATACGGGGCCCTCATCCCTGGGGCTCAGAGATGTTAGGTGGGATCTAAGAGGCAGGAGCTCAGCAAAGGGACATTGTGTGCAGAGGATTCCAGGACGCATCCTTAAGAGACAGTGACAGCAAAATCAAAAGGACTATCAGCCACTTGGCTTGGTTCTCCTGCAAAGATCTCCCACCTGTCAGTTGCAAAGAGGAAACTTTTTGAACTGCATAGAAAATTAAATGGCTTTTGCATATTTAAAAAAATACAGATGAAAACACAGTTACACCAGTTACTAAACAGTGGGCGGATGAGCGATCACCATTTCATATTAAATAGACCCAGATAGACTGATCTCCATATTGCCACACTCCCGGCATTACAGCTTCCGTGCACACAGCAGACGGAGTGCCTGCAAAGGCCAGGTAATGCTATGCTCCCGCTGAGTGGCATGGCCTGGCAGGAGGGCTGTGGTCCCAAGGAGCAGGCTGTAAGACGTCTGCTCTGTCCTCTCACTCCTTCAACGCTCATTGCATGCCAGACCAGATGGGCACACTGGGAAACAGGGCTCCGGCTGGAAAATGATTCCAGTTTGTGGTTTCTTTACAATGTGGTTTCCACGCAACGTCACAGGAACAAATCGCTAGTTTTCTTCCTACGGAGAACGGAAAGAGAGAGGTGAGTAGCAGCAAAGAGAGGAGGAGAAGGCTGCCCAGCATGGAAGGTGACAGTAGGGAACGCTCTAACATAAGTTCTGATATAGCAGGGCCCTTCATGTCTTATAGGCAGCAAGACTCAGGACAAGGGTTTCCCAGCACTACTGCTGACATCATTCGAAGATCTCACCTCCCTTCCACTCCCTCCAGCCACCGTAAGCAATTTCTAGTCCCCAATTTATCCACAGTGATACAGAAACACAATCAATTAATGCTTCTTACTGACATAAGAAAGGTTCAAATGCCCATTGCCAGAGGTGGCAGGCCAACACATGAAATCTGAGACCAAGCTCTCTCCCCAGCTGGAACGATACCCTGAAGAGATGTGAAGCTGACTGAGATGCCAGCTTTTATTTGGCAGCTTTCCCCCTTGAAGTGAGACACAATGGCTTGATTTCTTCCACCTGGTCTCCACAATCTCCCACTAGAGTTGATTCTGCCCTGCATTTCCCAGAGTTAAGTTCCTGCCAACAGGGATATTTGCAGCCCTGCACAGAAGGCTGGTATTTGAAGGACCAGAAGCAAGGGGAACATCACCTATGCAACAGTAGCAGGCCTCAGCAGGATGCATGCCACCATCCTGCACTGGTTGCACCCTGTCCTGGTGGGAACTGCCTGCCAACCAGTATCACTCGTCCCAGGTCTGCCATCACAGCTCAAAGGGTTAAGAGCTATACGTTACAAAAGTATTTTAAGTGTCTCACCTCTTAGACCTCCACCAGTATCTGGTGAAGGGATCCTGGCTCTAGAAATGCCTGCCTCCCGTTTGATTTACACTAAATCAAATATTTGCATGGAGCAGGATATCATGGCCCAGCTCCAGGGCACAAACTGACAGCAACATCTTAGAAGTCCTCAAAACTACCTAAATCAGGAGACTGCGGTGCCTGTGCTCAGCCTGCCCTTTCCCACATGTGGCCCAGGAAGAATGGCTGCTCATGAAGCACAGCTGCCAGTGTCAGCCCAAGGGGATCAGGGCCAGTTTGCACAACACAGTCACACACTGCTTCACTAGAACTCTGCACAATGATGCCTGTGTGGCTTTGCTAGGAGGAGGACCCAGATCTGGATTTCTACTGCTCTAGTGGCCACAATGCATGGAAAGTACTGCAACAGCAACTCCAGAACATCCAGACATGGCAGACCATGAGCTGTTGGGGGCTCACACAGAAGAAATGGCAGGGGCCAGGGGCACAGTGACTGCTTTTCTTCTGTCCCTGCATGATTACAACACATCGTTACTGCTTTGTGGCACAGTGTATGTGAACACACAAGGTAGGAAGCACTTCCAAGCCTGCTTCTCCTCCCTCTCTGACAGCCACCGCCCAAGCCTGCTGTGTGGGACACAGCCAACTGTTTTGCAGTGGATCGATTTTAAAGGCTCCACAGCATCAACCCCCTCCCCAACAAAGCCTTGGCCAGTTGCCACAAAACTCACTTGTCCAGGAACAAATCCAGGGAATCCCGCTACAGCTCATTTCAAGAGACTTTCCTCCAAGCAGGTCTGAATTAAATGGTACCAAGAACATTTTTACATTCATCATGAGATCCAAATGGGTTTTCAACACACGATCAATGGGTCCACAGAATCCTATCCCCAGTGCCTTCCCTCTGGCCAGTGGCCCTGCCATCTGCAGCAATCGTTTTGTTTCATGCCTCATTGTCGTCCCCGAACTCCAGGTGACTGCATCCACTCCAGCCACGAGGCTCCCACCTGGGAGCTGCCCCTGCCTCATAGCATTTCAGAGTCCAAAGTCCCATCGATCCCCGTCAGCATGCAACTCCACAACTGGAGAGATGGGAGCACTGCAGAGCATCAGCCATGTTCTGCCCGGTGGAAAACCTTTGGCACCAGCACTGACGATTTATCTGGAAGAGGAAAGGATAATAGTGCTTGTGATGAATAACTTAAGACACACAATTTTCTCTAGGGTTCTAAATAGGGAGGGCAAGGCCTTTAAAAGTAACACAGGCCTTTTTGAGAACAGTTTCCTGCCAGCAGAACAACTGTGAAACTGAGACACAGACATCATGGAAGGCAGGCTGGAGGACAGGAGGACAAGTGCACAGGCATAGCCTGACAGCATAATACAATAAAAATTGCAACCTCAGGATAGAAATGTGCTGTGCCAAGTACATACACAGGAGGACCAACTGAATAGACAGTGGTGACTGGTGGCTCAATATCAGGGCAGCTACCTTGTTTCCTGACCCAGGTGGGCACTTCAACTTCACCTTCATACACAGCTCAACAGCCACCCATCACCAAAGCTATTCTCCAGCAGGATGAGAGTATTTTGGGGTGGGGGGTTACTGAATAGAGAAAACAGCATCCAAAGCTACTTTCAGATACTGAAGTGAAAGTAATAGTCATTGACATGCAGCACAGCAGCAGCCACAAGCAAAACACTCAGCTTGCTCATCTAAGCTCTCTGACAAATTCCCTTGTGCCATTCCAAGGAGAGCAGACCACGGCTGCATTTCTGTTCTGCAAGAAAACCTATGCATCAAAAAAGCCAAGGCACTAGCTGTTTTTTTGAGTGTTGTTCCACGTTTGTTCCCACCACAACACAGCTCCATTTTCCAAGCACATCCCCACTCTGGATTAAAGGACATACAGGCTATTGATAGGAGGGCAGGGCTTCTGTCTAGAGAGACCTCACCAAGTTGGGAGACTGGACCAACAATAGTGCTGTGAAATTCAACAGGACAAGTGCATAGCCCTACACCTAGAACAGGACAACTCCATGCACCAGCACAGCCTGGGGTCCAGCTGGCTTGGGATGTGGTGGAGAACATGTTGAACACAAGCCAGCAGTGCATCTTCATGGCAGTGAAAGCCAAGCTGTAATAGGGAGACTCAGATGGGACAGAAGGAAAAAAAGTTCTGCCCCAGGAGAACAGTGTAACTCTAGAGTCCAGAGAGTTGGTGTCACCTTCATCTTTGGCAGTCATCAACCCTCACCTATACAAGGTCCCAAGCAATCTGACCTGGCTGTGAGGGTGGCCCTGCTTGGAGCAGGGTCTGGACAGAGACCTCCTGAGGTCCCATCCTGCTTAAACCTGCCAATGATTGTATTATCTCCTGATCTGTTCTGTCCACTATGCATGTCTTGCAGCTGCCACCACACAGCTCAGGGAACACCTCAACCCATTTTACCGTACCTCTTATCCTTTGAGCAGGCTGCCTACATCCACAAATAATTACAACAGTCCCCAGGCTGTGGGACTGCTGCCTTTCAGAAAAAAAAAAAAAAAATAGGTAGGGTATGTTTTACATATGCTTTCTGTGTCTATTGACAGGGGAAAGGGGGTCTGCTTTCAGGTCTCACTTGGAACAAGGGCTGATCACAGTAGGAGTGGGGGGGTAAACCAAGGCAACATTAACTCGCTCGCTGCCGTTCTTGGGACAGATGATCTCCGTCAGTCCCTCTGGTCTTGGCTGACTCAGCAGTTCTCCTGTGAATAAGGGAAAACAATGAAAACATTTAAGCATCAGCAAGGCAGTTTTTGCTTTTAGCATACTCTTCCCCTTCTTCCCTCACCAAGTAAACATCCAGGACTGATGTAAGTGAGCACTGTAAGAGGGCTTACTGGTCCTGCAAACCAAGAAGATCTCATCTGTGTAACCATGGTGAATGTCCTGGTGATTGCAGCTTGGAGACATGCTGCTCCACACAAACGTAACATCTGCCATCTTTCCTGTCTCTACTTTGAATCACTGCACATAGACCTGAGAGCTCCTTAGGGATTCATAGCATCTAGATAGAGCCTAATGAGATGGAGGTTTTAGAAGTAGGTGTTTTAATTAGGCTTTGGGGGCAGATGGGATCCAGAAGTTTACCTTCAGTCTCCATGAAAGGGAAGAAACTGACCTGTAGTGTCAGCAGGAAATTGGTAGACAGAGAGAAAGCTACTGATACAAGCCTTATTATTCACATCTGCGTACTACGACCACCCATACCCAAAAAGCTTTCAGTTCAACCAGAACTACAAGGACCCTGCTAAGACCACCCTCTTTGGTATGAACCAGAAAGAAGGTGGTTTTGAAAGCACTGCTACAAACATGATTTTTGCATCGCTTCAGTATTTCTCCTCAACCTCAAATCACCCACGGACAAATGGCTTGACCTTTTCTGACCTGTTACCTCCTGTTCTGTCCCTGAGCAACCCTGCTCATTGCAGCTGTGCAGCCATTGCTCCAGTACTGCAATTTCTGAGCTGGAGATAACTAGGAGCTGGAGAGACCCTGCTGTTCTGCAATGGCTGGCCAGCTGCAGGGTGCCTCTCTTAGCTGCCAGAATAGTATTTAGAAGCATGTAAAAATACTCAAGAGGATTCCTTAATGCCCCTCTCCCTGGGCACGCTTACCACAGCTGTGGTGGGACTGCTGCTGTGTCCTGCCATGGCTCTGGGCCACACTATACTCTGCTGAGTGTGCAGATCCCAGCTCCCAGATACTGGCTCTTCCCTAATGAAGGCAATACCAGCTCCATATTGAGTCAGTAACAGCGGGGGGCTCTCACACCACATGGTGTCCCTCTGCTAAATGAGTTGTGTCAGCTCCGCTGTTCAAGCGCCAAGTTGGCAGCTCCCCACTGCTGGCACCCTTGCATCATGTGGTCCAGGGCAAGACACAGATCAACACAGCAAGGGGGGAAAGTCAGGTGCCGAGATGTGCCCCATTCCAAGGAACACGTCCTCAACAGCTTGCTCAGAGCGACTCAAGTTTCCTCCTGGCTCCACTCCACACACGACTAGCCCCAGCCGGGCAGATTCCCCAGCCACTGACATGCCATCTCCTCAGCATAGTCCAGCCACAGCTTAGTCCACTAGCAACAGAAGACCCACCAGTCTGGCAAAGACAATATGGGATGGCAGCATCCATGCCCAGAAAGGACTCAATTCTTCTGCTGAGTGTGCCCACACCAACACCCAACAGCCCTACCTAAAGCAGAGGCACCAGGCCACAGCTGGCTTGTGCCAGCTAGATCAGTGACTTCCTTTACAAAGGCAAGCCAGCTGTAAGCAGGCTGCAGTCACAGGTCCACACAAAACTCTGTACCCATCAATCAAGCAGACACTGTGAGCAGTCCCCACTTTCACTAAAACCCTCAAGACATAGCCCTTGGACTCCCCTATTTTGAAATGCATTTGCAATAAATTATTCTGCTGTTAAACAAAGGACATCAGAAAAATGTCTCCCTGTGTCTAGCTGCGATTGCCAGGCACCCCAGAAAAAAAACAGAAAAGAAATTACACTTCGAAGAAGTACTGCCCAGCCTGTGCAGCAATGGCACAACAGTCAGCCCCACCGTGCCTGAAGTGCCCCAAATGCCGCTTCCCTCCTCTCCTCTGAACGCTGTTTCTCTTCCCACTTTCATGGAAAAGCAGATCTAAAACTCCTTGTTTTTTTCAAAGCTAGAACACAGCATTTGGTATCATGACAGAAGAGGGGAGAGCTTGCCAGGGAACATGCACACACACAGTTCCTCTTGAGGGATGTTCCACCTCTGGGGCCAGTAATTTCAGTTTGCCCCCATGGTCCACAATATGAATTCACATTTTGCTTGAATATCTGCCCTCATCTCACACCCACACTCAAACCTGAAGTGGCATAGCAGCTTTTAAGCCACACAGTCTCCCAAAACAGAAGAATCGTGATGGTATTTGCAATTCAAAGTTAAATCTGCAAGGCAGCGTCCTCAATTACGTGAGCTGTCACACACTGAAAGCAGCATTGCATCCCATCAAGCACGTACACCACAGGGCTCCGCTCTGTGTCCCAGTGATTCCCAAGTTGACTTCCAAATTGCAGAATTGCTAACAGTACTGAAAACACCAGCTCTGAAAGATGAGTCATAAAATCAGTGCACCATTATGTGCTTTAAAGACAGGGCTAATATCCATTAGATCTTAAACCAGAGGAGTGCAATAAGACTGGTCTGTCTGCTTGGAGCCTTCATTCCCATTTCCACCTCCCCACTTCAAGAATCCTTAGAGATTTCTCAAGCAGAGGAGATTGCTCCAGGGTAAAATAGATGCTTGATTAGCAGGCAAACAAACCCATTCCCACAGCTTCCTCAGTCAACCCTTGTTTTCTTTATGACTTCACCTTTCCCTCTAGGTTGCCTCTGGGATAAAGCTCACCTCACTCTGTCCCCAGCCCCATCCACACCCTCTCCAGCCCCACTCCCATTTCCTGCTGACATACACACTGCTCCCCAAAATAAAGACTTTTCTCACAGATACATCATGCACCAAGTGGGCAGAAGGCCACCTGTGCATCCTTCCTATTCCTGCCCTCCCAATTAAAGGATGTCCCACTGCCTTCCCACCACAGCGTTTCCATCCCCTTGTCTTCACAGATTGCTCACCTTTGCTACACAAATTCACCACGGTACTAAACTAGGCATAACTATTTAAATCACGCTTCACATCACTGCTAAAAAAAGCAGTGCAAAACCCACTGCTACATGCAATCTTCAGAGCTGTAACAAATCAGCATTTAGACACTTCTTGGATGCAACCTTTCAGGCCCAGTCTCTTGGAGGTTTCAGAAACCTCATGTTTCTATTCAGATATTACTCAAACTGTGGGGGATTAGAAATAAAAGTCTTCAGGGCTGCGGCAAAATGCGGAAGAGGAGATCAAATTAAGTATTGCACTAATACAAAAGACAAAGCAAAGTGCCTGGCATGCGGTGCTGTTTGCTTGGTTTAACTGTTAAGTTTAAATGGGTCTGGAGCAACCCATGTCTGCAGCACTTGCTCTGTCCCTATGTACAGATTAACCAAGTCTGTATTTTGATTGCACATTCCTTCATGAGCATGTCACAAATTTTACTGGAAAACTCAGTTCTGCCTGCCCCCTCTGAAAGGTTGCCCTGCAATAGCACATGCACAAACCACAAAGCTTATTCTAATCTCAACGTGGCCTTGGTTTTAATGTTAACTACAGCGGAAGCCGCTAAGGTCTTAACCAAAACTCCAGCTACTTTGTCTTAAGGCTAAAGACTAACACAGTTGAGTTTCTGAAGAAAAATCCCATCTCCCAGGAGACAGATCTGTATCACTAAGATTATTCAGCTGATTTAGGAGCACAAGCCCTATTTGCAAAGGCACTTTAATGCTGGGTACTTGGTGACCAAGGCCTGATTGTTAGATGATCCAAGTACCAGTTCAGGTGATAGCAGAGAGGCACCCACCAAGTATGGTTAAAAGCATCTGCAGACAGCAGATATTTTAGAACATGCTCCTTTGCTGCCTCTCCATTTACAGTGGCACAGATGGTGCAGAAGAGTCACATCTGTCCCATGGCCACCCTGCTGGCATTTCTCTACAGAAACAGGTCTCCACAACTGGGTAAAATGTGCTGTACACAAAGCCAATGCTGAGACACAAACCTAGACCCTGTCATGAAACTACCATGGTTGGTTTTGGCTGTAGCACAAGCTGGTTTGTAAACTCCCCTAGGCAGATGGGCTGAGTCATGCTGTCCTCACCATTTAAAAGAAACCTGCTACCTGTGAGCAGCCACAGGCAAAGGTAGGAACAAACCTTCAGCCATGCCCAAAGCTCTACCAGAAGGGCCTGTTTCATCTCAGCATTAAACCAGCTCACCCAAAGCAGGTATTTCTACGTCAGCAAGATGTTCTTTGCTGCCACTCTTTTAACCCAGAACAGACACAGACATGGCCAACTTTGAGCTGCTTGTGCTGGACTCCCAGGCCAGGCCAACGCCTGCAGCCCACAAGGATAACTGAATGTGCCAGACAGAGCTCAACCGTGTATCGCCACTCAGTGCATGAGAAAGACATTTCTACTGCCCTATATGCCCAGGAACACAGAAAAGCATCCATGTACAATTTTTGCTTGAGTTCAGAGTTAGGCCCCATTATTCCTTCTGTCCTTAATTTACTGTGATTTGGGGAGGGATGCCTCCCTTGGAGCCTATGCCAGCTATCAGACCCATGCATGCTGCAAAGCACACTTCACTGGCCTTTAGGAAATACCCGTGAAATGCCAGATATCCATGACAAATCAGAGAGTTAGGAGGAAGGCTGACAGCAAGAAAAGTGAGTACTTGCAGGAGTGTTCGGTTACTCCATACTGGCAGCCAGACAAGGCCCGCTGTAAGCCTACTTGGCTGCCTAACAGAGAGAAGGATTTTGCACACAAGGAGGAAAATCCCAGCCAGACCGTTTGCCCTCACATAGTTCCCACTGCCACAGCCGTGCTAAGTGGCACAAGGTTCCCTGTTCACGTGTCAACAATCTGCAGCAAGGGCGCAGGGGTGAGAGACTCTGCTCCAGCCTGCCATGTCATATTCTTTTTCTCAGAGCTCCTAGGAGAACACATTTCCACAGTATCAGCCTGATGGTGTTTCTCATTTTCATTCTGTAATTCCTGCTGAAAGAATCTGGGCTCTATTGGGACAAACAGCTAGCAGTGGATGAG